CGCCGCCGCTCTTTTGTCCGATCAATCCCCGCCTTGTGCCGCAGTTTCGCGAGAGAACCTTGTAACCGGACTGTTTCTTCGAGATTTCTGGTAACGGTCGCCGGAACAACCGGTTGTCTCCCGCGTTCTCCGCGCTTTCTCGCCCGTTAATCGCGCAGAAACGGGGCTTGTAGTTATCGGGTAAAGGGAAGAACTGGAGCTACGGCGAAAAGGAAAGTTCGAAGATTGGACAGGGAAGTTTAATTAAGGATGGAAAAAGTTGACAAGTTCGAAATTTTAAGAGAATACTTAAGTATGCCGCGTGGAGTATCGCTTGAACGTGATATTTCAGTGATAATTCACAGCTTGATTTATATTTAACCGGGCAGATTTCACTGGGATGGGAAAATGCGATTATTTCACAGCCGCTTTAACTCGATCGATTTTCGATGAGTTTTACGAGCAACTCCGATAACCGAGAATTAACTGGTTTCTTATTTAGAGCCGGTTAATTAAGAGGGTAAATGAAATATTGATAAAATTGCGTCCGGAGTCTGGAGAAAGTTCAGCTGGACGTTATTTCTAGCTCGATTGCGAAATCCTGCAGTGGACACGGGTGTAACAACGCACCGACGCATGCCCCTCCCTTCGGCTGTGTAATTTTCAGAGTAGAAGCAACACGCGCGGAACAATACTTGACGGGGCAAAGTTTGGCCAGCGATAATGGAACTCGGTGAAAATGGCCCCTTCGTCGAAACGCGAACGAGTTCTACGTGTTTGCTCCTCGCAACAATTTTCCGATTTACCAATCCAACATTCCTCCAAATAAATAACGGTAAAATCGGAAAGAAATTCAGTTCCACAATGGTACTTTCGTCCAGCGTGAAGGATGTGCAAGACGTACTTGCGTACCGACGTCTGACAAAGCACGTACCCTATCTACTGCGTCAGCTGAATCGCGTGTATACGTCGTTCAAAATAAGAGTAACCTCGCTCTCGGACCGGTTCTCGTCCGTTCTGCGCGTAGACAGAGAGCGCAGCGGAGGGTAGGACGGAGAGAAACGTAGGCGGTTTGGACGTTCCAGCCCTGCCTTAGGCACGTCCTATGCGCGAAGCGAGGTTACTCTCATTTTGAACAGAGTGTAAAATCTACGGGAGAGCGTCGATAACTTTGATGAAAAGTAAAGATTCTTTAATTAAATTCGCGCCGGTGAATGGATCCTTTTTCAAAGTATACAGTGTACGTTTTCCTTAATGGAACACGTGCCGAGGTATACAAATTAGAAACGGGGGGAGAGGGAGAAATTCGTGCGTGACGTTGACTCTGCTGTGAAATGAACCGAGGGTTGTGTGTAGTGGCGTGCACAATCTACTCGATCACATTGCTGTGTTCGATTAGAGAGGAGAAAAACGAGGGAGGAGATATCTGTTTGGAGTTACGAATTTGCGTTGGAGAAAGGGATACGTCGAGTTTATAGGTAACGAGATATCGATGGGGCATCGCGGATTATAAAAGTTGGAACAAGGGGGATCGAAGCTTGAGACGGTAAATTACGAGGCTGTAAACTTAGCAGAGGCAGACTTATAGCTTCGGGAAAAGCTACAAAACTTCACCCTCGGTCTAAAAAAAACTTGTATGGAAGAAACGGAACTGTGGACATACCGTTACGGTTCAGGGAATTTCGGAATTTCTTCGTTACCAACTCTGAACAATTTCTGGTAATAACTGTACTTCGTACGACTCGTGGTTGATCTTGGCGATCGTTGGAGTTTCTGCGGATTAAGTTGAAACTACGTTCTCGAAGGACCGCTTCCTCGCGGAAGACAAACACTATCGACAAATGACTGTTTCTCTGAAGAACTAACGCGAACGGTTGTCCGATGGATTCTGTCGATCGGGGGCTCGGACAATCTCCGAGACACCTCGGATGCGGACATTCAAGGGAGGTGGTTGACTCTAACGCGATTGGCAATCATTAGGTACCGAAAACTGACTATGGTGACGTGCCCAAGTCAACGGTCACTCTCAAGTGCGACGCGCGCGGAACTCCGCGTGTCTCGAACAATAGGCGCAGCAGGTAACAAATCTAACGAAGCATGGTCAAATAGAAATCAAAGGACTAGAAAGCGGAAGTATGGCAAGCAGATGTGCACAATGGCCACAGAAAAAACATCGTAAACAAGTAAAATGCTCGATGGCCTCCCAAGTTTATGACCGTTGCGAAACACCGGGGAATTTTCAGACCTGCATCTGGACATCTAATAATTCTAATCAAGCTGTATTAACCGTTACATTTTAAACTTAGTACTAACGTCATCCACATGTAATTGTGAAAGCTCAAAATCGTCACAGGCAACCGCAGGTAAAAATATTTGTACCCTGTGAGCTGTAAACCTTTCGAAGTGCCGCACGCTCGCTCGATCCGGCTCACGGCACTCTGAGGTGCTTGGCGCGGAAGTCTAGAAATTCAAACAAAAATCTTTTCTGGTTATAAAACCATTTGTACTTCATTGCCAAGGCCCTAAAGTGTATTTTAAGCAAATAAAAAAAAATTTAAGGTGTTACCCCTTAATCCGAATGACTTAACAATAACTGTTGTACGTGTTTTCCTTTTACTCGTGTTGCAACATCCGATACACGTTGTCTCTTACTTTCGATGCTACTAGACATCTACTCGTATCTATTGAAATGTCCGTCGATGCAAGAGAACGCGATACGGCTTCTTAATCTGCATTATCAAACAAATTATCAGGCCGCAATCAGCGTGAAAATTAGCGCTCGAAGCAGAGCTGCTCGTCAAGTTGCCCGCAGGGCAGCGGTAAGACCAGCTTTGCCCGCAGCGCTGCCCGAGGGCAACGGCGGGCGCTCCTGCCCGAAACAAGCCCGCTTGAGCGCTCTTTAAGCTTTCAAAGTCTACGACGCAGCAGCTTCTACTTCCTATTTCCTATTATCCACTTCCACTAACACATGGTTTTCATCCTCGATAGGCCTCCTTTGGTAAGTGTCGTCAAATGACGACGGTGCCTTACCAATTTACACGTTTCCATCTTTCTCTAGGGGAGTGCTAAACGTCTCTCCTTTCACACGACACATCCCCGACGGGTCTGTAACAGGCTACACACTTGGTTATTCCAATCGTCCCACACTTTTGTTTTCTACCTGAGGACGGAGGAAATCTGAAATCCCGCGACTTCCCATTCATGCTCCACCTAATCCCATCGAATTTTCCACGGTACTAACGAAGCGACAAATCTCTCTGTTACAGGATCGCGAGTTCGTGGAGATGGAGGTGCCCTACAACGGTGCCCCGAAGAGGCCGGGCTCGCCGTCGCCTCTGACCTCCCCCGCGCACAGCACTGCCTCGAGGGGCGGCCTGCTTCACGCCTGCTTCGTCCGCTGCTGCCCCCAACGTTACCAGGTACGCGGTCGCCGTATTCTCGCCTCGACGACCTCCATAAGCGAGGGTCCACCCTCGTCTTCCTCCCACTTTCACCAATCGCAGCCGAGCGGGCAGCCGGTCCAGTCCCATTATCAACCGGTTGACCCAACCACGGTGCCGAATGTCGCGTTTAACGTGCCCGGTGACAGTGATCGGCAACGTCGCCAGGGCACCAGCTCCTCCAGCCCCTACATCGAGACAAGGGTGTGAGCCGGGCTCGGGACACAGAGATTCACCTCTACTTCCTTTCAGCCTTGACCAGCGATCAGCGTTATCTATCCCCCCACCCTCTTTTCTCTTCCTCGGTTCTTCATCGAACAGAGTCTTTCTTTCTCGCGGTCATCGCTCGAAAGGCTTCGTCGGAATTAGAATGTCGGTATCGTTGAGTTTCCTAGTCTATCGCGTGTTTCTTTCTTACGGAGATTATCCGAAGAAACGTTGGAATCAGAGGCTGACGTTTGTTGGGTTTGTTAAGGAGACTTGGTTGTTGGTGAAATTAGGAGGTTGATATTGTTAAGTTTGAGGATAGGTTTGACGAGTCCATCGATCTGGATAGAGAGAGTGATCGATCATCCAGGACTTGGGACTTTCTGTTCTGGTTTGAAGTTAGGAGGGAAAAGAATCCATATCACAGGGAAGGATTGTTGATTAATCTCGAGGCGACGAGAGGGACGTTGTATCAGCAGAAGACTGAAACGTGCCGTACGTTGAACGAATCGTTAAAAGTATGGGTACGGTGAATCTTTCGATCTTGGATCTAATCGATACACGAGCTACGAAGAAGTCTGTTGAAAGGAAAGAAGTTTCTCGATAAAAATTATATTCGTTGCTGTTCTCGGTTGTCGTAGGCGAATTAGCGTCGAATTCTACGTCGATAAGTAGCGCAGTTCAGACACATCGATACACGATCTATCGGTTCTTGTCGATCCTAACAACCACGCAGCTCTCGATCGAAACGAGCCTAACCGGCCTCGGCCGGAGAGAGATACGTAGCTTGCGTTCGTATTTGGTGCTACAGAACTGGGGCTAAGTCGTCCTAGAACTCGCTCGAGACTGGATCCAGCTACGATCTTTCCCGATCGTTCAACGGTGCGATTAGGTTACGAGGCGCTTGGAGACTAATTCCCGGGATTCGATTCAGTAGATAACCCTTTCGCCACAATTCTCCCGCCGACACTTTTCTCCGTTTACACATCGAACAGTCTAATTTAACGTGTACGAGCATAATTTCTCGATATTTCGCGTTGCAAAAGTTTCCATTAAGCACCAGTCATTTTAAAATACGAACGACGACTATAGTTGCTCGCTGTTTTCTCGCAAACGACCATAGAGAGATCGCTTGTTACCGAGCGACTGTAGTCGCTTGTGTACAGTAGCGAAAGGGTTGAAACGTTCTCGAAAAAGAAGAAAAAATACTCGAAGTTTAAACAAGTTTCTCGATTCTCAGTCTACTAAAATACGTACGTAGGTGGTCAAGAGTTGCAAGTAGTCTTATATACGGAGATAACGTAGCGTCCAAGTAAATATAGTCGTGTTAAAGAAGAAGAAAAAAGAAAAAACGGGGGAGGAAAAAAAAGGTACGAAATATAGCGATCGTCCTCGACATCGAATCCCGGTTGTTAAGCATGACTCCCATAGGAGTCGACTCTCCCTGAAGCACTGCCAGCTAGGGTTCGAATTTCGAACCGGTGCTCTCTCTCTCTCTCTCTCTCATTTTCGCCATTTCATCTGTGTGTGCGCCACGCTTGATAAGAGCTAAATAAACCTGCCATTTGGCAAACAGAGTAGCGAAAGGCATCGGAAAAATTCTCTCCCTTTTCCCGCTCCGATGGAATGGCAAAGAGAAGGCAGATCGGAGTCGAAATATCTGTGCTCGAAACACGCTCTTCTCCGCGCGACGAGAGGATACGTTGCAAATGGATACGTTTTCTCCGGCCGCGTATCCCCCGGAACACCAGGCTGGTCCATATCGTTTTCTGTTCTTCACGAACGCTTCCGTTTCGCTCGCGAGAATCGCGACTCAATCTCCCCTTGGAGAATCCGAGGCGGGATGGAAAGTCTGCCGAAGGCACACTCTCTTGAATCGCGAACGTACTTTCCGCTTTTCCAGGCGATAAATGAAGAAGAGAAACGCGAGACTGTTGCGGAAGCGTTCTCCTGTTGGCTGGAACTCCTCCGGAACGGCGTCTGAGAGGATTCTCTGGTTTGATCCGTGGAACTTGCCGCGCGATCGACGCTTCTGGAGAATTTTCATCCGTGGATCGGTGGACTGTTTGCAATTTTTGCGACGATCTTCTGTTCTCCGAGAAACGAAACGGAGATTGTTCTGTCGTGTTTAACCTTTCGCGGGCGGAGGACCAAGTGCCGAGTCGAAGATCGCTACTTCAGTTTTTCTTTTTTTAACCCTCATCCGTCCTTCGTGTCAGTTCGACACACTTTTCCGCTAGAAAATTGTATTGTTCGGCTGTTTGTAGAAGAAATTTTTTTCTTACTTTCATTTCGTTGATTTTTTGCCATTGTGTCAAATTAACTGCGAAACTGAGGGACGGATGGGGGTTAATTAAAATTATTTTTCGTGTAATTTTATTGGTTGCGTTCGTAATATTTTGCGAACGCAAACACGAGTCTGTCGTGCTCGAAGGGTTGAAGCTCGTTTCGTTGATTTCCGATTTTATCGATTGCTTGGTAGGAGATGAGAGAGAGAGATCCATGCACCAATCTAAACGAGAGTCGAAAATAGTATCGTTATCCTTGGACACCTTCGATCGAGGCGAAAAAAAATCAAGGTTCTACCCGTAGATTAGCGATCTAGGTTATCAATGAATTGTTATCGATTCCTCTTGGCCAGCGTTCGGTCGAGGATCTACGGTCTAATTGAAATTATTCTCTAGCCTTATTCTACTGTCTTCTGATGGCGAATTCTAAATCGATGTTGTAGATATTATTCCGGTTAGAACCGAACGGAAGAACGATTTGATTCGAGTTCAGGTAACTTTTCTCCTCTAATCGAAATCGCTAGGTCTCTTCGAGAACTCGTAGATCGTCCTTAGGTAGTACCTCTTTCAGTCGAGCGGCCTTTTCTTTCCCTCTATCGTCTCCCGAAGCACCAAAGAGTAGACCTTCGGTAGCTCTACCCGTGTGAGAACAACTCCAAGCGTTTTCCAGCGATATTTATGGAGAAAAAATGTCGACGTGTGGCTTGAGATCGTGTTCAACGTTTATTCTGTAGAAATGAGATCGTTATTTTCTGAATTATTCATTCGGGGATGCTGCAAGGTTTTCCACATGGAAGGTGGAAAAGGAATCTTTTAGGGAAACTGTTGCAGGCTTTAAAGTGTCTTCTACTTAGAAACTTTGATACGTTAATTGGAAATGGTGGGTCACGTGAAACAGACCACCTGAATAATTATCTTCTTTAGCTATGGTGGTACGAGACAATTTTGATTCGAAATTTAAATGGTTTCAAAGGGTGAAAAGGTAGAATACGAATTTTTTTGATGGAAGAAATGGCAGAAAATGAAAGGAAAAATTTTAGAGTCCATCATCGTTTAAAGACTATCAGGCATGTTTAAATACATATCAATGTCTGCTACAACACACGGTAAAAAAAAATGATATACATTCATATAAAAAAAAACAAAGGTGACTTTAAAAAGAATAGAAAAAAAATGCCATTTATAAAAAAATTATTGGTACCTATAGAAAATGGTGTTCGCTGTGAGTTCTCTTAAACGTATTTTATTTTCTTTGGCACGGAAGGATACGACAGAGACCCTAGAGCGGTCTTCGTTTTGACTGTACACTTAAGACATTTGGGTAAAAAAGGACCTAAGACCTTACGTGTAATAATTTTTGTTTCCAACGCGACATACGAACCTAGACGATAAACGTTTAAAATAACGCTAAGGAGCGTACACTTGATAACAGGAAAAATGACTAAAAATATAAAAAGGCGGCGGGTCAAAAAAGACCCGAAGACCTTTTACCCAGGCCCCCTAGGGGTCCGATGACATTGTTATATTATTTTCACCAGCAGTGTTTCTCATACACGACACAATTCATTTTTGCTTACCAGCTGACGCGTTATTATTAGTAATAATCCAACAGAAACAGATTCATCCGGCTGTTAACCCTTTGCGGCCGAGTGTCGGCAAGTAGCTGTCCAAGTCTGTTCACCAATTTCCGTAAGAACTAATTCCCCACTTTCACACCACCACCAGACACACCCCAAACACACCGTTTCCTCGGGCTTTGACCAAAAATTTTCTTGAATTTAAATAAAGTTTTAGTTTTTGTAACTCGTTCACAGCGACGCTCGCTCTCCGGCCGGCCCCGACCGCAAAGAGTTGAGAGCAATAAAATTTCCCTCGTTGTTACCGACCTTTCGCCATTTTCCTGACTACACCTAACGTAAATACTGCCTCGTCCCACCGTAACTAGAGAGAAGACAATCAGATTATCTGTTTCACACAGCCCACCCGGTGTGCAGGGATCAAGATATATTCCGATGTCGATAAAATTGGACGCGTCTGTTCGCACAGCCCACCCGGTGTGCAGGGATCAAGATATATTCCGATGTCGATAAAATTGGACGCGTCTGGGCTGCGGTAATGCAGCGGTACATCGACTCGTAAATCAGACGGCGCGCGTATCAAGAGAGTCGACGTTAACGAGGGAAAATGAGAAGTGATAAATGGTCCTGTCGGCTGGCAGATCGAGGACGAGACCCCATCGAAGCCCCGTTAAGTGTCGTTCCCCCTTTCTCCAAGTCTCGATTTTCTCCAACGTGCGAGCGCCATTTTTCAACCGTGTACGGGTTCGAAGCTATATATTCTCCCTTCCACCGGTACTATCTTCGCGTTAATCGTCCATTAATTCCCACCCAGATGTTTCCACACGTCTGACCTTCCACAGTCTCGCCTTTAACGGTGAAAATTTATTTAAAGGCCAGGCCTGGACCGTCGGCTGGCCACTTTGAA